GCGAGCTACAATATCATTGTACAATGGAGAATGCTGACGTGTTTAAATCCTATGTAATATACGGATATGTGCGTGTGTCTCTTCTAGTACCTCTGCTGCCTCTCCACCTCCCGTTCATCCACAGACAAACTGGCTTTTGATGTGGGACTGCAGGAAGACATTACAGGTAACCATCAAACCCTCTGCTATTGAAGCAGGAGTGTGCAAACCTTTCAAGATTAATGCAAAAATGACCAACTGAAAAGCTCTTGCAGGCTCTACAAATGTGACGTTTTGATTGTTTTTTTATTTTAAATGGACACATCTGTAAAACTCTGACCTGAGAAAGCCTGCTAAAGCTACTAAATTCCAGAATTTCTTTTGGAGGCCACACAAAACCGCTTTGAGAGCCCAGGCCGTACGTTTCACATACCTGTCTGAAAGAAGCTGGTTTTAGTTTTAAAAATGAGTTTTTTACGGGTGAGATAACCCTCTAGTGTAACCTTCTTTTATAAACACAAACCTGAGAATTCAGATCTTTTTCTACATTCTTTACTTGAGTAGTTTGTTGTGATGAGAGAATCTAAAGGCATATTTATCTGTACACGGCGGACTGGGGGTCTGGATTCTGGAGAATCCTGGATTGGCTGGTGGGTTTGCTCTTAGCTCCTCCCCAGCGCCGCACAACCCGGCCATAGAATCAAGCAGGCTGCAGCAAAGCACCCCCCCAACCCTAACCCTAACCCTTGGAGAACTAATTTCATGTCATGAGAGGTTTCCTCAAGTTCAGACGCAGTGAGCCTTGCGCTTGCTGCTGTTTTTCAGCGTTATTTATGCATTCGAGTATTTACAGAGCAAGCTGGGGAGCTGCAGGATGACCATAAACAACAACATGGTGTGTGTTTCCAGAAGTCCACGTTTCATGTTGGTGTGTGTGTGTAGGTGAAGCATGCTGGTGGACCATTCACCCAGCATCAAAGCAGCGTTCGGAGGGAGAGAAGGTCAGAGTGGGGGATGATCTCATCCTTGTCAGCGTCTCCTCTGAGAGATATCTGGTGAGTTGTTTCTCCACGACTGAGTCAAAGTTTTCTGTTATTTCGGCTTTTCTTTTCCTCCTTCTGATTCCTTCCTTTTCCTACTTGTTACTCTTATTTTCGCTTCTACGCCGTCACTCTAAACAGGGTTTTTAGTAAACAAAATAATGTTCAGTTTAGTGAAGTCTAGCAGAAGTGAGACATTTCTTAGCAGACCCGTCTGTCCATACTTACTCTGCACCTGGGGTTGGTACCCCTTACCACAACTGAAGCATCACCTGCATCCTTCTTCCTTCTAGATTTGCTTTGGTGCTTCTGTACTGTGTACGTCTGACACTAAGACTATTGCTTTCATGCAGCATCTGTCCTATGGGAACAGCAGTCTCCACGTAGATGCAGCTTTCCAGCAGACGCTGTGGAGCGTGGCTCCCATCTGTTCAGGCAGTGAAGTAGCACAAGGTAAACCTCCTTCGTTTCCACCATTTTAAATGACTGACCAGGTATAAACAGTAGGGATGCTCCAGTCAGATCACGTGATTTTTAATGGATCAGAATCAGGTGGGAAAGATCAGATTAAACCATATAAATCAACAAACACTACTTTGTAAATTTCTCCTGAGAAAGAGATTTTTAAACAGAATAACAGTAGCTCAGTTTAGAGGAGACATCGTTTTTTTTTATTCCTACTTTTTACATCTAAATCATCCAGTTGGGATCTAAGTACAGTGGAACTCCATTTCTTTGGTCTGATTTCCTCATTATTGCTGCTCTACAGACCCTCACCCACCCGTTCTGAGGACAGTCTGAGAACGAGCCGTTTTTTTTTGTACTGTCTCTTTAAATGTGGAGAAGGAGCTGCAAACTCCGCCCCCTTCCACAGTGCAGACCTACTCTCCTCCCCCAGTCGGACATTTTTGTAGTTCTATAGAGACATCATTATGTAGCATAGCAGAAACATTATATTAGCATTTTTAAAACGTGGAGAGAGTTGTTCATCAAGCTGTTTCAGGGCTGCCAACTTTCTCATGCATTTGTGTGTATTCACACGCTGCCCCCCCCCCCCCCCCCCCCCCGTCACGGCCAACGTAGGAACAAGCACACGCACACACACACACACACTCAAGGAATGCTGCTTGCTTATATATATATATATATATATATATATATATATATATATATATATATCTGAGGGTCATGATTAGTGCGGTGAACGAAGTGCGAGAAGAACACCGCACAGAATATGTGACGTCCTGACTGAAGTTTCAGGAACACTTAAAGAATTGGCAAGAAAATAAAAGATGTGATGACATGCCTTCTGTGTTGGATCTATAAATGACGTGTGGCAGGGTGGGGAAACGAGGGCAGGGTGGGATCCAATCCCCAGACTCCCGGGTGAGAGTCATGCGCGCTAACCAGTCAGCCAAAGGGACACCCCCTTGACCAAGTCGCCAGGGCGCGTGATCAATCGGGTCACTGTGACAGGACGCTCACACTGCCACAGACACATGACATTCAGTCTCAATCCGTATTTTGCGCTTCAGGCTGTGTGTGTGTGTGTGTGTGTGTGTGTGTGTGTCACACGACAAGCTCCTGCTGGCTGATTCTATCAGCTAATCTAGGGCGTGAATTTGAGCCAGCCAGTCAGAGGGTGTGTTGGACCAGTTCAGCCTGAAGCGGACCACCTTAGGAAGAGGGCTGAAAAAAGTCCAGGCTATGCTGATGTGAACATATCCTCCCTCAGCTAGGTGGAGTGGAGCTGGCACTAGTGTGGAAGCCCTAACAGAGAAGGCCCTTTGGAGCAACGCCCTCAGACAGGAAGGGGCTTGACCATTTAAATACTTGAATACTAAAAGAAAGATTTTAAAATCATTCCTAAATTAAACTGGCAACTAGTGAAGAGATTGGAGAATGGGTGCAACGTGTTGGCTTCCATTAGCTCCGGTCTGAACCAGCGGATGTCTGTACAAAGCGCCTTTATCTAATGTCAGTTGAGTAATGAAGGCATGGGTCACTGATTCTAGGTGACATTTACTCAAAATAGGCTTGAGTTTGGAAATTCGCCCAAGGTAATAAAAACAGGATGTAACCGTGCCATTAACCATCTTCAAGGCTGTGTCCATGTTTACTCCGGGGTTAGAAACAGTAACCCGAGTGGAGATCAGGTAGCTGTTCTACCTTCTTCAGGACTGAAAACAATTACCTCAGTTTTAGAGTCGCTGATGGAGGATGTTTCAGGCGGCCATCTGTGATGTTCTGAAGACAGTAGAGCAGAGGTTTAGAGGAGTGGTGTCCTCCCCATGTTTCAGTAACCTCTATGAGCTCCTTCGGCAGAAATAAGTCTGTCACGTCAGCTGGCCACTTCTACAAAAATGTTCACGATATTTCTAAAAGTCCTTTCATGAACTTAACCACTGCAGAAGTGTTGAAAAAAGTGAGGGAACTTCGTCTTTCAATAAATAATGTTATGATAAATGAAGCTTGAAGGTAAACGCACCACAACATAGTAAAGGGAGAACACCTTCTAAAATCAAATGTCTAAATACTTCACAGTTTACTTGCTATGCCCGCATTTTTTCGAGGGACATTGAGTGAACCATCATAGCTTTTAGGTGGTAGAAAACAGCCATCGTCAGTCGTACGTGCTTACTCTCATAACCCTCCCACTGTCCTAACGGGTGTGACCCCGCGAGGAAAGTGTACCATTGAGCAGGGTTGACGGTTCATCCCTTGAGGACAGTGGGAGGGTTAAGTAGCCAAAACACAATAAACTTCCTGAAAACTACAAAATACAAACTACAGTTTGCTCACATGGGGTCCGTGACATGGTCTTTGGCCCCTGCAGCAGGCCTTTTTCCTGAGTATTTGAATTGATCTGCGCACCAGAAACTTTAAGGAAGGTGATTTAGGACAATCCTTGTTCTGACATTTGTGCAGAACTAAAAACACCAGACAGAATGGAATTTTGCCCTCAACTGTGGTTTATCAGAGAAGTCCGACAAACTGCTGAGATAAACCCACACCTCCTAAAGGAACAGTAGCATTAGGCTACACGAGCGGTCACCCCGTGTACATCAATACAACATTTAGAAGTATTTGAGGGATAATTTTTTCCATTTACGATCCGCCTACATTAGACTATAGTATTAAAAATATGTATATATGCATATATTATGTTATGTGGGGGCTTTATAAAAGGGGGGAGGTGTGCCCCCCCCCCCCCCCCCCCATCTCCGTCTATGCTCGACATTCAAACCCTTAAAGACATAAAATAACATTGATAGCTTTATTCTGGTACTTTTTTACTCTGATTGCTAACAACCCCACCTGCTTTGGACCTTTCATTATTTATTTAGTCTTTTGGGAAAATATTGTGTTTTATTTGGACATTAGTGAAAGAAATCCGCTTCAGGAAGCCTCATTTGGGACAACACTTAGAAATTCTTGTTAAACTTGAAATCCTCTCCCGTGGAACAAGATTAGGCCCATCAGAATATTCCAAAATAGCCCCATGAAAGCACTACATGTCTTATGCGTTAGTTTCTGGTCAGAAAATGTTCTTCTTTAAAAAAATATGACTCTTACCTTTTCATTTACTTTCTCATTGACTTTGTTGTCTTGTGTACAGGGTTCCTGATTGGAGGAGACGTCCTGCGCCTCCTCCATGGTCACATGGACGAGTGTTTAACGGTTCCATCTGGTCAGCATGGAGAAGAACAGAGAAGGTATTGAACTGATTACTAACATTTCTCTGTGGGAACTGTTTCTACAACCTCCAAGTTAACCGTTATTCATGCAGTTAGAACACATGCTATTATTCCTCTAATAATTAGTTATTATTCACATTTATTATTGCACAATTTCACAAATAAAGTTACCCGCGTCATTGTTCTCTCTGACACTTTACTTGGGAGGAAACACATCATCATCCCTTGAAAGATGGTTCAACTGAAGAAAGCTGCAGAAGGATGCAGCAGCAGCTCCCAGCGTAGCTCCAGCTCTGGGCTGGGAGTGAGACAAGGAGCTCCATTAGTAATTACAGTTGGAGGATGTTCTCATTGGAGAACGTTATGTTGTTTAACATCACTGCTAACACGGACTCCCCTTCTTCACAGAGACATGGGGATTGTTACCGTGAGACTGACTCACTGAATGAATCGTTTTCTATCCCCAGGACAGTGCAATATGAGGGAGGAGGAGTTTCCAGTCACGCCAGGTCTCTGTGGAGGCTGGAGACACTGCGTGTAATGTAAGCACAGCATGTCCAGAGAAAACCAGTACAGTCATGCACACCAGTAGATGTTGGCAAAGGAGACCAACAGTGTCCTTGTTGTTGTTGAATAAAGACAGCTCGGGCGGTCAGAAGTAGCATCCTGAAAGGACAAAGCCGTGTGTGACCTACTTTTTATGTAAATTAGAAAGTTCTAAACAAAACGTCTCATAAAACATCAAAATGTGGAGCCCTTCTTCATCCAACCTGCTCGTCACCACCTCATGAATATGAGTCCCACCCCCTCCAGCCTAAGCCATATGTAAACCTAAGGCACCCGCAGATGGAACAAAAGGCTAGCCGTAGCTCCAAGCTAGGCCCTCCTCACCTATCGCTCTCTCAAACCTTGGGCCGGCGCCGGCACTCCCTGAACACCCACCACACAGAGTGTGTAGGGCACCAAGTGGCCAGGGGGCACCAAGCAATCAGGCTTATGAAAAATATCAATTATAACATAAGCTGCTGGATAACATGCACACAAGCAACACGGAGGTAATCATTTGACTGGCGTTATTTCACACACAGATGTAATGAATTAAGTGACGTGTTATTTAATGAGCCATAAGGCGTAGGATTCCATAGGAAATATGAAATCCACCTTACGGAGGATCTGTGAGGTTATTTGAAACCAGAAGATTGGATCTTTTTATTGCAGGGATTAGATAACCGCTTCATATTCACTCAGAGACAACAGAAGAGAGAGAGTCAAGTTTAAAAGTTAAGAATTTTATTACTAACAAATTAAACTAGACCGACTTTAAACACTACATGTACGGTGTAACTAAAGTGGATGAGACGGTGAATGGATGATGTGTGATTTTAATCAGAATCAGCAAATCCGAAGAAGCAATTAGTTCTGATGGGAACTGAAGGTGATGTCTTCGCGTTAAGCTTTGGTTAGGAGATTTATAAACACATTCAACGCCATTTGCCAGTCTACATAACCTGAGCGGAAGTCCCCGTCTAGATCAGGAGGTGTAGAGGTCCAGCTTGGCCTTACGGAGCAGGAGCATGTAGAAGAAGCCACGGCAACCGACCACCCGTCTTGAGATACTTCCGGGTCACGACAATCTGTTGGCGTCTGGTGAGACCCGAGCCTGGGTCTTGATGGTTCAGCTTTTATTCTGAAAGGAACTGTTGCGTTAGTTTGAACAGCAACGAATTTTCCAGCTTGTCGTTGGTTCTTTCGGTTAAAGAGGAAAGTTAGGGATTGGCCAATCCGTCATTTTCTCTGGAACGCTTTGAACTAGCGTTAGAGATGACGTGGCATAGTTTTATACTTCAGATGTTTTGGTTTATGGTCGAATGAAAGTTTGACAGAGTTACCAACCACCATCAAAACCACGGATCTGTCAGATTCTGATTGGATCAGTGAAAGGAATGTGTCATGTCTTTTAACGCTATGTGAAGTCAGTCCTGTTGGAACACTTAAAGTCACAGTACCTTTATATTCTATAGGATTATAATAAGTAATTAATATTTTGATTTCACAGGTCGGTCACATCTTATTTATTGACTAACACTTTGATGGATTAGCTTTATTAAAATAGAGTTCTTTGATTAATTAGAAGAAAAGAGTTCATTCTTCTCTTGAGCTGGAAAGAAGCAGTTTTATAACAAATGCATGAGACCTTGAGGCCATATCTCATGCAGACTAGTCCTGTGTCAGAGGAGAGGGGGAAAATGACTTTGGGTGGTGTAAGGAGAAACTGTCTTTACTCATATTGTATTTGCTTTGGTGCTTTCGTTATATTGTAGCGTTGTGGTTTTATGCTCTTTTATGAAAGAGGAACCATGCTATGTATTAATTCGGAATATTAATTTTTAATAAATCAATAACCACATTTTATATTGTTAAGAAGACTCAAAGGTTGTTTTCATCGATAAACTGACGATAATATCTGTGTGTCTGTGTTTCAGTTCAATGAGGAAACCAGTTTGACAATTAAAAGTTTTAATTCTTCAAATTAAACTAATGATTTTGAAATTGACAAACAGGAGATAACAATCAACATTGGCAACTTGTGGGACAATTTTTAACAGTTGATATGATCAAATAGACCTTGTGGTGAATTTATGAAGATGGAGAATGCTGTGATATGAGTGCGTGTGTGAGTCTGATTTTGCTTCAGGAAGAAACAGGTGTCTGAGTGAAGTGATGGTTTGGATAAACTTAGGTCTTATCAGAGAACTGCATCAAACGCTAAACACCGTGCTCTGTCTCACCGAACTCTTGTGGACCCTCTTTCGGATCCGGGCCGTGGAGGATGTTGTGGTTCATCCAGATGACACCAACGGCTGACAGGAGAGACGTAGGTGTCGAACGGAACCGGTCCAGAGTTGCCCTCGGTACACGTGGATGGTAGAGCGTTTTGTCGATGCGCTTTCTTAAGTTAATTCACTCAGAAATCAAAAGACTCGGTAATGAGTCTGCGTTAGAAGTTGCGATTCAGCTATTCTGCCTGGCTTGGCAGGAACAGCGTGAGAGGGGGGGGGGGGGTTGAGCCAATGGGCTCCGTTCCCCCGTTAGCGGTTGTTCACACGTCCTCTCTCTTTCGTTGTCAAGCACGAACTGAAATCAAAAGACTGAAACTTACCAAAAGCCTTTCTCTTCTCAAAGCAAAACGTGTGCGTCAGCAAATGTGTTTTGGAGTTTACTGTGAGCAGATGTGCGTGGGCGTGTTTGGGTGTGTGAAGAAGCAGGAGTGTGAAGGTCGTTACCAAACATTCTCAACCTTAACATTTAATTAGGAATGGATTAATTAAATCTCTTATAATTACCCAAAGCATAATAGTCATTCATTTGATTAAAACACATTTATAATGAGCAAATTGATGATTAAACTTTTAACATTCAAAACAAGAAAAGGAAGTTTAAACTTTATGTTTTGACTTGTTCTCGGTACAACTCATGGAAACACGTCTTCTGGACGCTGCAGGTGGCAGATGTTATGGTTTCCTCCCAGACTCGCTGGCGTTCAGGTCTTAATCTGTGGGTGAAAGTTCTCAGCGACCCAGCTTTGACCCAGCTGAGTCCAACACCACCTTTGTGACAGAAAACCCATATTTCCTCACGTTACAGTGGAAAACATTTCATTCTGTTCATTCATAGTCATTTCATTCTGTTACATTAGGCTCCACTCAAACTTTTACAGCAATTTCTAAACACTGGAGTCATTTTGGCACCATTACTTTTACTTTTCACTTACATAAAACCTTCCCCGTCCTCATTAAATTCAACAACTGTGTTTGAATTCCTAAAATAAATTTTGAAATCAATCTTTACTTCCGTATTTGCTTTCCCTATTTATCCCACTAGATGTTGTTTGTGTCCAGGTGGAGTGGGAGTCATATTCGTTGGGGTCAGCCATTCAGACTCAGGCATGTGACCACAGGAAAATATCTTAGTCTGACTGAAGAGAAGTCTTTGCTGCTGGTGGACAAAGAGAAAGCTGATGTGAAGTCCACTGCCTTCTGCTTCAGGTCCTCCAAGGTAAAGTCCCGCATAAATCCTTCACTGGTCATTCATCCTTGTAACAACAGCAACGCCCTCACCTTGGGTTTCTTCTCAATGATTGCTCCTCAGGAAAAGTTGGACCCCGGTGTAAAGAAGGAAGTGGATGGGATGGGTACCCCTGACATTAAATATGGTGACTCTGTGTGCTACATCCAACATATTGACTCCTGTTTGTGGCTTACATACCAGACTGTTGATGCAAAGTGTGCACGCATGGGAGGTGTGCAGAGAAAGGTACCATACTACACTTAACCATTCTTCTAACTTTGAGTGTTATTACTAGGGATGATGGATATTGGCTTCTCTTTAACCAAATGTTTTAGGTTTTGGAAACGGATCGCACGACATTGCAGTTACAATTGTCTTGTTATATCGTCTGTGCAAAACGCGAAAGAGAGAGTGCTCTCAACTCCAACCTGTCATTGACATAGTTTCCGAATCTCTAGCCCATTCCATGGTCCGCCACACTTTGGCTTGGTCAGAGAATAAAGAAATAACTTAAGGCACTTGGGCTCTTTCAGTGGGAAAAGAGGAGGACTGGAGTTGAAAGTGTATTTCACGTTGCATGAGGAAGGGACGACAAAGTTGTGGCTCACCCTTAAACGCTTCAGGCAGAACCAGTCGAGGCTCGTGGGCAGGAGAGACCCGGAACTGAACCGGTTGGGCGGAAGTCATTGGAGCACTGGTCACGTCACTTGCCTGAGCGTTGGATTGGAGTGGATCCAGGAGCTCGTTTATTTTAGATTCCAGACCAGCGATGGAACGTTCTACTTCGAGTCACCAAGCCTGCATTGGCTTTGGGTCCATGTTGGCTCGATTATTCTGTTATGATCAGAACAGACTTGGGGATTTGTGAAGACACCAAAAACAATAAGGCAGTTTAACACATTTATTCATAAGAGTTTTTACCTGTATAAAACAATAAGTTATACACATGTCATATTTATACATCCGATACAATTCAGATCACCTTCAACTCTCAGTCACACACCCAGGGCCGTCTCAAGGCATTTTGGGGGCCAGGGCAAAACGGAACACCCCCCACCCCTATAACTGGGCTCCCCAGAAGCCTCTGTGTACTTCATACCCTGTCCAGGAGTGTTAGTTATACGGTGTTTGTAAAAGCCCCTCAGACATCACTGACATGTTCTAATAGTTTCAGATAAAAAACTGTCGGACACGCCGTCTCATCTGCTTCTTGTCTAAACTCACAAACATCTGTCTGTCAGTAACAAAACCGTTTGAAAGCCTCTATTTGTGGATTCTCTGAAAGTTTCCATGGAGTGTGTGACAAACGTTTTTTTCATTGATCCCATCGACTAATCTCAAAGCTGAAACAAGCATCCTTAATAATCTGAAGCTTCAACAACGCTGTAGTAAAACAAAATGTTGTTGCAGCCCTGAAGCAGCAGAAAAATGAGGTTTTGCAATAAATATGCAGAATATTTACAAATGAACTGTTTTAGAGCCGTTTTGTTGGCAGAATCTGATGTTAATGTTAGCTACAAGCTAGGTGTTCTGATAGAACACCGGGAAAAATGGGTCCCAGTGTGGTTTGTGTGCTGTGTCATGTATGTAACAGTGATATTGAAAGGCAGAGTAAAAATGTTCACCTTTTTCTGTACTTCATTTCGTTGCACTAGAATTTCATGTTGTGCCATATTTCTTGGGACCCCCCCACCCCACTTTTCATTACGCACCGACAGGGGGCAGCAACCCCAAACACTGACCAAGCAACTGTACAGCAACTGCTGGTCACATTTTCTGGAGCCACCCATGGATCTCCAGCTTTCGCTGGAGCAGTTTGCAGCCGAGTGTGAAGCAGCTGGGATGAGAATCAGCTCCTCTAAATCTGAGACCATGGTCTTGATTGAAGGGTAGAATGCTTTCTGCTAGTCATGGTTGGGGTCCTGCCCTAAGTGGAAAAGTTCAAGTATCTCAGGGTCTTGTTCACGAGTGAGGGAAAACTGGAGCGTGAGATCGATAGGCGGATTGGTGCTGCATCTGCAGTGATGCGGGCGTTGTACCGGTCTGTCGTGGTGAAGAGAGAGCTGAGTCAGAAGGTGAAGCTCTCGATTTACCGGTCGATCTACGTTCCTACCCTCACCTATGGTCACGAGCTTTGGGTAGTGACCGAAAGAACGAGATCGCGGATACAAGCGGCCGAAATGAGTTTTCTCCGAAGAGTGGCTGGGCTCTCCCTTAGTGATAGGGTGAGAAGCTCGGTCATCCGTGAGGGGCTCAGAGTAGACCCGCTGCTCCTCCACATCGAGAGGAGCCAGTTGAGGTGGCTCGGGCATCTGATTAGGATGCCTCCTGGACGCCTCCCTGGTGAGGTTTTCTGGGCTTGTCCATCCGGGAGGAGACCTAAAGGTAGACCCAGGACACGTTGGAGGGACTATGTCTCTCACCTGGCCAGGGAACGCCTCGGGATTCCCCCGGAAGAGCAGGCCCAAGTGGATGGGGAGAGGGAAGTGTGGGTCTCTCGAATGTTGCCCCCGTGACCCGATTCTGGATAAGCAGAAGAGATCGGATGGACGGATGAATGATTATTTTCTGCAAAATATTTGTTGTCTCAAAAGATCTCTGAATTTGAATGTTTTTGACAATACAAAACAGAAAAGATAGTTCCATGCCAGCTGCAGTACTAGGGAGTAATGTAAAAGTTCATCAGGGTTTTGAGGAAAGTACTAATCCTGGTAAGCTGTAAACAAAAGTATTAATTGGGAGTTTCTTGTTCCAGACCGACTAAAAATCAGACCTTTGTTTTAAATGCTTGATTTGTTCAGGGAGATATTCAGATACTGATTTGTTATCTCTAACTTCGATGTATTTCAGGCCATCATGCACCACGAGGGTCACATGGATGATGGGCTGACGTTGTCTCGGTCACAACACGAGGAGAGTCGCACAGCAAGAGTCATTCGCAGCACTGTATCTCTATTCAACCTCTTCATCAGGTAGACGTTATCAACCGCACACACACAGTCTGCAATGTAGCACATTGGTGAAGAAGTAATTAGAGTAGTGAAATCTAAAATCTGGTACAACTGAGGTTCCAAGACAACAACGTTTGGTTAGGACGGTGTGACGAGAGGAACCTCATTTAGAAAAAAGATTCTGATATATGTGATGCATGCAGAACATGCTGAGCAAAGGAGTTTGTTTTTGTAATGTCCCCCAATCTGAGCAGAGCTGCTTCACAGAGGTGTGGACTCGAGTCACATGACTTGGACTCGGGTCAGACTCGAGTCATTATTTTAATGACTTCTGACTTCACTTGATAAAATCTATAAATACTTAGGACTTGACTTGGACTTGAACGCCAATGACTTGCGACTTGAATCGGCTTGCATCTGTTGACTTGATGATGACTTGAGCATATTAGATTTTTTAGCACAAAAGTGGCCCTACATGGACAAAAATCATGAATCATTCTTGGCTCTGGGTTTGATCTTGTACTGCTGACTGCAGCAGCTCTTCGTTTATAATCAGTGTCGGTTTCTGCTGTTTGAGCAAATAAACGACGCTTTAATTCTGGAATTTATTTATCACTGCCGTTAAATTGAAGTTGGACAGATGACTTGATCATGACTTGAAAATTCAAAGTTAAGGACCTGAACTTGACTTGGACTTCCAGATCACTGACTTTGTAGTCGACTTGGACTTGGTTGTCTTTGACTTGGACTTGACACGAGACTTGACTAGAAAGACTTGTGACTTACTTGTGACTTGCAAAGCAGTGACTTGGTCACACCTCTGCTGCCTCAAGGACATCTCCTTCTGTGTTTATGCACAGCCACAGCTGCCAGTTAGCTCAGTGTTTAGCTCTCATGTCCACGAGTCGGACGAGAACTCGTTGTTCACGAGTCTGACGAGAGCTCGTTGTTCACGAGTCTGACGAGAGCTCGTTGTTCACGAGTCTGACGAGAACTCGTTGTTCACGAGTCTGACGAGAGCTCGTTGTTCACGAGTCTGACGAGAGCTCGTTGTTCACGAGTCTGACGAGAGCTCGTTGTTCACGAGTCGGACGAGAGCTCGTTGTTCACGAGTCTGACGAGAGCTCGTTGTTCACGAGTCTGACGAGAGCTCGTTGTTCACGATTCTGACGAGAGCTCGTTGTTCACGATTCTGACGAGAGCTCGTTGTTCACGAGTCTGACGAGAGCTCGTTGTTCACGAGTCTGACGAGAGCTCGTTGTTCACGAGTCTGACGAGAGCTCGTTGTTCACGAGTCGGACGAGAGCTCGTTGTTCACGAGTCGGACGAGAGCTCGTTGTTCACGATTCTGACGAGAACTCGTTGTTCACGAGTCTGACGAGAGCTCGTTGTTCACGAGTCGGACGAGAGCTCGTTGTTCACGATTCTGACGAGAGCTCGTTGTTCACGATTCTGACGAGAACTCGTTGTTCACGATTCTGACGAGAGCTCGTTGTTCACGAGTCGGACGAGAGCTCGTTGTTCACGAGTCGGACGAGAGCTCGTTGTTCACTAGCAAACCACAAACAACTTCTGATGCATTTCTCTGATACAACAGGTCAAACAAACAGTAAATGTCAGAAGAGAGCAATGGACAGAAAAATACAAACATAAATGAGTACAAATACTACCTCCTGTAAGAGTTGGTGTGCTTTGGTGTTGGGGTTTGTTCCACCTAAGAGTTAAAAGCTCAGTCAATCATTTCCTGTTTAAATCCTCAACACCAAGGAGGACAAAGCTCTCTGGTTCACGTCCTCCTCATGATGCTTCACACCATGTCCACTCCATCCATCTTTATGTTAACATTCTATTCCCTCTGAACTCTTTAGGGGTCTGGACAATCTCCGAAAAAAGGGAAAGAGCACAACTTTGGATCTACCAATAGACTCAGTCAGTATGAGTCTGCAGGATTTGATTGGCTACTTCCAGCCAGCTGGAGAGCACCTGGAGCATGAGAACAAGCAGAACCGACTGAGAGCTTTAAAGAACAGACAGAACCTCTTCCAGGAGGAGGTAGGAAGCATTACAAACGGGCAATAAGGCCTAAAATCCATATCGCAATATCATGTGAAGCTTGTTTAGTATATCGTAAAATATTGTTTTCTTCAGTCAAAATGACTGTTTTAGATACCAGATAAATAGCAGAAAATATGCTTCTAAAAAATCTGCCTTTTAGTGAACATTTAACATGAAAAACTTATTTTAAATAAAATAGAACCTGAATGTGATGAAAACAAGAAATTCTAAATATTTTGAACTGAAATGAAAAATGTAAAAACAGAAATAACATTTGATTGGTTTAATCCTTTTTCATGACTTTGTGAATGTAAAATGATACTTTGCTGCTTATGCTTGTCGACAATATTAAATAAGGTTGTAAGTTTATCCCTTTTGTTGAGTGATGCTCGGATCAGCGGTTCTGACGACGGTTCTGGCAGCACGAAGCGACTAAGAGAGAAGTGTTGTTTTCAGAAACCGTCTCAGTGGGACTTTTGTTCAAACTGAATCTCAGGAGGTGTCCAGAACATTTGCAAGCCTGTGTGCTCATTGTGCATTTAAAAAATGAACAGCGTTTAAGGAAATTTGTGTTAACGAGCTACTGTACCCTGTATTGAACCGCTGCTTCTCTAACGAGCTGCCCTGTCCACAAAACACCTTATTTCTTTTTTTTCCCGTGTCCTGTCTGGCTGAGAAGCAAACAGAATTGATGTCTGAATGCTGGTAACAAGCCTTACAGATTTACTCTCAGGTGGAGCATCAAAGTGTCTGCTTTTAATGTCACGCCTGATACTTAAAACTTTATTGTTATTGTTTTTTGAATGCTTGTAATTCCGACCAGACACGGAGACAGAGGTGAAAGAGAAAGGAAGAGACAAAAGGAAGGGGGGGTCCACAAAAATAAACAATCAATGATGAACAGGGTCTGCTTCTAGACCTGCAGAAAAGGGAAACACAACAATACAACAGGAGTAAGCCATCACTGCGTCAACCTGATGAGGAAATATAAAATCAACATTGTTTTACTGAACAATCACACGATAATAAATCACAGTGCATTTAGCGCCAGTGTGTGTACACGCGCTTGTATATGTCAGGTTTATCTACAGGAGCGTCCAATAGAGAGTGTGAGGGTCCACAGATCTGCCCCCCCAAAGATGTGTAGGAGATGGAGGGAGCTCCAAGTCTCAGAGATCCAGGAGCTGCCCCAGAGCACAGGGACCCCAGGGAGACTGCAACCAGAAAAGCCCCTGCCCCCCTCAAGAAGCGCAGAGGATTGCCCCGGGGGGGCCACAACCAGCAGCCGGCAGAGCCCCGGGAGATATCAGCGGCGAGCCCACAGGCCCACCCGCAGCCTCCCACCCCCCAGCCGGAGCTTGGAACCCTGCGACCCGGGACCCAGGGGCGACCAGCCCCACCAGGGACCCAGCAGAGTCCAGGGACTCAGATCCCACCAGGCAGCCACCGGGATTGATCAGGCAGACTCCTAAAATCTTAAACCCCCTGACCCGGGAGCCAAGAACACTCAGGCAGACCAAGGCACAAAACACCTTATTACATTAAAGCACATGTTGCAGACAACCGCCTCATAAGAAAGCACATGGTGTTGTTTTTGCCCAAGAAACCAACAATACTGATGTAGAGGAAATATTTAAATGAAAACTAAGCCATTGTTATTATGAAATATATCCCCCAGCATGAAGGCAGAGGCCTTTCATTAACTGGGGTAAACCCCAATGTACAGTAAAGTATGCCAATCGCTGTGCCTCTCAGTCAGAGCAACTCCAAAGTGGTAGAAAGTCCATAACCCCCTGAGAAAACTAGTTCCAGAACCAGAGCCATATGCATCAAGGTGAGTTCAACTATACCTAGCCGGAACCTCTCAACCTCACACATGAACTCTGGCTCTTCCCAACCAGAGAGTTGACATTCCATGTACCAAGAGTTAGCTTTTGTAGCCGAGGATCAGATCGCCAATGTCCCAACCTTCGGTTATCACCCATCTCACATTGCAGCCGACCCCTTTGGCCCCTTCCATCAGTGGTGACGAGCCAATTGGAAGGGGAACCCATGTCTCCTCTTCAGGCTGTTCTCAGCCAGGCTCCAGGGGTGAAAACCATCGACATATAAATATTGAACAATGGGTTTCCATAGACTCCAATAACACGTTTTTGAGGAGAAATGGGAGGTGGCCACCACCGCCATTTTGACCGTGTCACAGGTTCCGTCAAGCCCAGACAATTCCACAAATGGGAAGAGAGGTGGAGCTGAGGGTGGGGCTGTAAGGCTGGGATCAACTGACGACACCCGGTCGAACTAGCTACAAGCTAACCTGAAGCTAACCCAAAGCTAACGCAGAGGTGGGAGCTAAGCTAACGGAGGTAGCAACCTAGCTAAAACCGGAGTTAACTGTGCACAACACCAGAGCTTCTGAGTCAGAGATACGCCAGGCTGACCGCTGGGTAAAACCATGTGGAACACAGAGCCGCTTGACACTGGGGAGGTCTCGGAGACCTCCACAAGCCGGCAGCCGCACAGCAGACAAGTGTCGCTGCGATCTGAGGTGTGCAGAGCTGCCGCTGGGGAGAACCAGGTGGAAAGGTTTCCATCCCACAGCTCCACAAGCCGGCAGCCCGTGCAGCAGACAGAAGACGCGATCAGACAGAGATACGCCGAGCTGCGGGGAGGGGAGAACGGGTGGAAAACATCGGTCTCCCGAGAGCTCCACAAGCCGATAGTCGGAACCCAGCTCCACCAACATGTTATATTTCAACCCATTTTCTAAAGTGCAGCATTATGTTAAATGCACCGGGTTTTACTCTATTACATTTAAATTTCATGGTTAAACAGTACATGTTAACATCTAAGCTCAGCTCGGCAGTGACCTAAAATACATAAATATAATTTTACTTACCGAAAAAAATGAAGTGGAGACTTCTTGGACGCTCTATTAGTGCAATTAATGCCACAGCAAGTCATTTTGTCCAACAATTGCACAAATAATATCCAAACAAGAATACACAAACACAGAGACTCAAAATCCCGGAACAGTCTCCATTCCAGACAGAGGCTCTACTGAGGCCTTTCCACGGAGCTAGCTCTGTGGTCATGTGGGTCTGATGCTCATTAATTATACAGAATTTTAGGCTTTTAATACACTTAAACAGAAGAGTGGGAAAAAAATTCACCCCCTCAGAGTTGTCATGAGTGTAAACTAGATCATTTAAACCAAAAACATGTTTTGGTACCAGGCTGTAAACATGTTTATTTCTGCTGTGAAATTGGTATTTTTAACATGGGAGTCAATGAGGATTTGCTCGCTTCTGACACCAGCCCCCAGCGGGTGAGGGTGGAACTGCAATTTTTGGTACTTCCGGGATTGCTTCAATTTTTGAGCCGCATTTTGGGGGCTTGGTGAAAACCTGGCCATCAGGTGGTTGCCAATGTGGTATTCAACGACCAGATGAAGTTCTGTTTTTTACGTTGCTCTGTGAGACAACAAAGCCCCATTAATTAAGTCTGTGGGGGAATTTCCGCCGGTTTTTTTCTCTCCCAGAATCGGGATTTCAGTAACAGCTGTGGTGGGATTCTGTTATGTTTTTCAGTGTCGGGAGTTGGATTTTAAACGTGCTTATTTTCCTTTGCTTCCAGTGTACTTCATCAGCACGTCTGTATAATATATGTAATGAAATGGAATTGTTTAGAATGAAAAACATCTGAGATTTTATTTCCAAGTCATATTACCCAGCCCTATATTTCGATGTGCATTACTTATAAGTGCTTTCTTTCTTTATTTTTTTGTATTGCTTGTGATCTGTGTTTGGAATTAAACAGAAAAGTTTTCTCCTGAAACGTTGAAGTATTTAGTATCGCTGTCGTCGTCGTCTTCCTCCGCTTATCCGGGTCTGGGTCGTGGGGGCAGCATCCCAACTAGAGAGCTCCAGACCGTCCTCTCCCCGGCCTTCTCCACCAGCTCCTCCGGCAGGACCCCAAGGCGTTCCCGGACCAGATTGGAGATGTAATCTCTCCAACGTGTCCTGGGTCGACCCTGGGGCCTCCTGCCGGCAGGACATGCCCGAAACACCTCCCCAGGGAGGCATCCAGGAGGAATCCTGACCAGATGCCCAAACCACCTCAACTGGCTCCTTTCGATCCGGAGGAGCAGCGGTTCTACTCCGAGTTCCTCCCGAATGTCCGAGCTCCTCACCCTATCTCTTTTTTTTTTTTTTTTTTTTTTTTTTTTTTTTTTTTTTTTTTTTTTTTTTTTTTTTTTTAACGTGTCCTGTCTGGCTGTGAAGCAAGCAGAATTGATGTCTGAATGCTGGTAACAAGCCTTACAGTTTTACTCTCAGGTGGAGCATCAGAGCATCTGCTTTTAATGTCTCAGGTGGAGCATCAAAGAGTCTGCTTTTAATGTCGCACCTGATATTTAAAACTTTATTGTTATTGTTTTTGAATGCTTTGTAATTTCGACCAGACACGGAGACAGAGGTGAAAGAGAAAGGAAAAGAGAAAAGGTGGGGAGAGAGGGGGTTAGGTGGGGGGGGGATTCAACAAAAATAAACAATAATGAACAAGAGTCTGCTTCTAGACCTGCAAAATGAGACGAGAAAAAAGCAAAACATAACAAAAAAATGGGACACAACACCAATATAACAAAATCAAGCTATCACTGCGTCAACTTGATGAAGAAATATATAATCAATCATTGTTTAACTAAACAGTCACACGATAATATACCACAGTGCATTGAGTGCCCACCATAGTCTTAAGACATGTGTTGAACGTGCCCAAGCCCATACTTATGAGAGCACCATGTGAGCACCTGTGTGTGTACACGCGCTTGTTTATGTAAGGTTTATCTATAGGAGCGTCCAATAGAGAGTGTGAGGGACCACAGATCTGCCCCCCAAAGACGCGTAGGAGACGGGGGGGAGCTCCAAGTCCCAGAGATCCAGGCGCTGCCCCAGAACACAGGAACCCCAAGGAGCCCGCAACCAGAAAGGCCCCCGCCC